CCACCCCCCGCGCCGGGCGCACCTCCCAGCAGTCCATGCGCCTCGCTCCCGCCCACGCGCGACCCCCGCGGCGGCGCCCCAGCCTGCACCCTGAGGTTTCAGAACTCGCGGCCTAACGCCCTGGTGCTGTCAAGAAGTTATTTCAAAGAGAAAAGAAAAAAAATAAGGTAAAATAAAAAAAGGAAGTTACTTCAGACCACATGGCCCGTTCCTGGCCTGGCCCAACAGCCCCGCCCCTTCCCGTTTCCAAATTGGCCCGCGCTTTCCCAGCTGCCGAGCTAGTGGTTGGCCAGGCTGCTCAGTCGATCAGTTAGCGGTCCTGGGCCCCTGGTTCCAGTTCGTCGGTGGAGTTTATCCCGCCTGACGTGGGGAAAAACGGGCTCCTGCAGAATTTGTCCCCAACTGTCAGATTCATTCCGGTAATATCGCATGCCTGCTGTGTGCTTTGGTTTGTGATCACTGTCTCTCATTCAGAAGCAGAACTTTCCAAGAGCCAGAGGGGTTAAATGCAGAGGATCCTGTCGAGTTCTCAAAGTAGTAATATGCCAAACCAATGCTACACAGCAGTGTTCTGGAACACTGAGGGCGCTTCAGGAAGGCTGCATGATTAATCAAAGTAGCAAGAAAATGTCATGCTTTCTAGTAATTTTATTTTATCAAAACAACCCCCCTTCCCAGTTTTAGGACACTGTTTTATACTTGCCAAATTCTGCTTCCTTCCCCCCAAGCTCTGTTGCCTACCCAGAGAGCTGTGGGATCCTTTGTGAGGCTATTTACATCCCTCCCTCCCCCTAAAATGTTTCCATCCCAAATTGAGTCTGTCTTGATACTCTTGGGATATTTCACAATAGTTCCTTGCCCTTTACTCAGAAGGTACTATCCCAGGGAAGAGACAGACAGGCATTGCTAGATATAGAGAGGGGCCTTTGTGTATTCAGTGAGAGGACAAAGGCTCCACGGCCTGTAAGCCTGGGATTTCCTCAGAGAAAGTGAAATTGGGGCTTGTAGAGGAGAGGAGTAGAACCAAGAAGCTTATTGGTGAGCTCAGGATTCTTCATCCATGACATCTAGAATGTTGCTCAGAAGACTTTTGAAAGTGGGCCGTTCATCCGCTTTCTAAAACCAAGGAAAAAAATACAGTGTTATAGTGGCTAAAATCTGGAATTCAAGGGAAATGTAATGAGTAAACAGCAAATGTTTATGAAATTTTTACTATATGCCTAATAGCATACCCTGTGGATTACAAAAAAAAAGGAAAACATAGAAATGCTTGATAAAGTCCTCGTGTACTTTAAATCTTTAGTAACTCAGGTTATTAATGTGGTGAGGACAATTTGAAAACTCCACTGACAAACATTGACTAAAACTCAGGGCAAATTCATTACATAATTATACATCAATGCATTCTTATTTTGGATCCTCAAGTAGGAAAAATGGCTACCAAACAAGTTTAAGTGGTTGACAGAACTAACATTCTGTAAGCTGTGATAATTTTTAGTTTAGTTTCAAACATTTACTTCTATCATCCTGTAGCCAAAGTTAACAAAGGAATGAACATTTTGAGGCCACAAGCTACATCAGTGGGCAGGGATCCTAAGAACCTAGGACCTCTTATTACCACCATCTGGCCTCTAGACTAAGGACCTTTGTGACAGCCATGCTCAATAAGCCCCTGGGGTATTTAGTGATTCAGGGTATACATATTCAGGCAAGAAATGTTTCAGTCCATCAGAACCAAAAAGGCATCAGTTTCTTGTTCCTTTGAATTAGTGGTTCTCAAACCTAGCTGAGTATCAGAATTTCCTGGGAAATTTAAAAAGATTTCTGAGTTCCACTCCAGACATACCTAATCAGAATCTCTGGAGGTAAGGCTCAGTTATCTGTAGTTTTAAGCGCTCCCCAGGGATTCTGATGTGACTCCAGTTTGGTGACTACTACTTTAAACAGGCTGTGGAGAAAGTGCCTGTCTGTAATACTTAACTAGCAGAGGGAGGATGTCCTAGTTGGGAGGGAGCAGAGCCAATCACCCTTAATCCTGGACAGCACAGGAGAGAGAAGGGAAATGGCTCCTAGCGGTTCTCCCTCTCTCCACGCTTTCTTTGTGACCTCAGTCATTTGTCGAAGGAAGAAGAGCCATGCTCTGATTCAGATGCCCCCTTTTCACCTCACCAAGAGGACTCCAGATTCTTATATGTGCTTATTGGACACTGTCTGTCCTTCCCTGTTTCTAGTGGGGCAGAACTTAGAGCTGAGTACTTGTTTCCTATTAGAGATTAGGTTGCCAAATTAAGGTTGCCAAGGATCTACTGAAAGCGGAGAAGGCACCCCTGGAAGAACCCAAGGTGAGAGCAGCAAAACATTTTAATAATAGTGGGACAGGCTCTTTATTTTCAAAATACCACGTCTACCCACATATCCCATAATGCACTGTATTAGAAGAAGAAAAAACCCACAAGCACTACCTGTTTTAGTTCCCTTTCAGGCTTTAGGGTTTAAAAAATGTCATTGAGGACCACAGCCTGAAAAGGTCCACAGTTAGTAAGGTAGAAGAAAGGACCATTGACTCCCAAAGGAATGAACACAAATTTTAGTGACTTTTCTTTTTTAATGTGTGTATACTTGTCTGAGTGCCTTTGGTTGCCTGTTTATGCTAGGTGACATGGCCCCACAACACCCCCTCTCCCTAAAGCCAAGTTGGTATTAGGGTCTGCTAATGATACTCTAGTGACAATTGTAGTGGGCCTGGGAAATTCCACCTCTGGCCATGAAAAGATTGGGATGCAGGCCAGGGCCTGAGAGCATATGCACAGCTATGGGTCTGTGCCCAGCTGCTGTGTGGCCAGGGATGGTGGGGAAAGTAGGTTCGAGGAAAGAGATCCTAATAAAACACTTACCTCATGCCAGCAGCTGTACATGATGGTATACACCCTCTCTGAAGCTAGATGAGGCCTGTAGAGACGTAGGCCTTGGGCAATGTGTTCAGCCATTTCACTGTTAGTAAATCTCTCATATGGCATTTTCCCCAGAGAGTAAATTTCCCACATCAACACCCCTAGAAGATGAAAACAATGTGTTAAGTTGTTTTTGGGTAGCAGGGATCCTAGTCTTCCTAGATCAACTTCAAACATTACCTTCAGCTGGTTCCCCCCTCTGCTTTTTTTCATTTTCTTCAGACTTCTTATGTACTGACTACACTGGAGGGCAACAGGGTTGCCCTGGACTATTAGCTCCTCTAGGAGAGAGCATCTCATTTGTCTTTGTAGCGATAGGGTCTGGCAGAGTCCCTGGGACATAATCAATATTCAGAAGCTGTGGAATACTGAATGAATTGTTTGTTTCCCTCAATGTATTGTAAGTTCTGAGAAGTCAGGGATCATGTCTAGTTTACTGTTTTTATCCCCAGAAACCCTTGTGGTGCCTGACATAGTGAGCAATCCCTAAGGATTAGGTGAATAAAAGTAAGAACAAATAACAGTCTCTCTGTGCAGGTTGCAAAGTGTGAATTTCCCCACTGCATTCTTTTTCCTTCGAGTTGTATAATCCATATACTCTTATTCACTTACCAAAAGCCCAAATGTCAGATTTGCTGCTGAACTTGCTATACATAAGGACTTCCGGTGGAGACCACCGGACTGGAAATTTAGAGCCTACTGAGCTTGTGTATTCATCATCCAGAACATACCTGCAAAGGATTCAGGATTTGTTACTGTTAGGATTTGGAGAGAGCTTGATATTTGTTTCCATTTTCTTGGCTCCATCATAAGAGTTACACAAACACAGCTACAGGCCAACCAGTGTCTTTTACAAATGTTATTTTTAACATATCCCTGTTTTGATATCTGATTTAGCTTCCCTGGTTGACAGTATGGTTATGACAAGGATGAAGTGAAATAAGATCTAATAAGTACTCCCTTCCTCTTCTCTATCCCTCTTTCCTTTCTCTTTTCTTTTCCTTCCCTTCCGTCTATTCTGCACTTGTCAGTGGTAATTAGACTGATTAGGAAAGAAGAGATGGAGTAAAGTCAACAGAATTAACAGGTCAAGATAAAGTATTGGGGAAATTAGCTTTTAAAAAAGAGGGAGGGAGAAAGGAGAAGAGAGGGCTATAACAATAAAACAGAAGGATGAAAGAAGTGACTTAAATCATTCAGAGAAAGAAAAGATCATGATGGTGGAAAAGACTAGAATTAGGGAAAAGAAGGGGAGAGGATTAAAAATTACAGTGTCTCCTCATTTGTACCATGCTATTTTTATTTTTAGAAGGAAAGATGGAAAAGGCACACTTACCTGGACAGGCCAAAGTCAGATACTTTAACAACTCCTCGGTCATTTACCAAACAGTTTCGAGCTGCCTGTAGTGCAACAGATACCAGTGAGACTCGGTCCTTGGCACAAAGGTTAAAGGCACAAAGCTTCTGCCCACCAAGGGAGTGAAGCCAGGAAAGCCTCATCTCCTTCAACCAGAGACACCTTCCCACCTAACAGGAGTCAGTTGATACCACTGAGAAATTTGTTGCAGTTCCACCACATGTAGAGCCATCTGCTATGTAGTCATAAGTAAAGCACTGAGGAATTGCAGAATGATTTCACTCACATTGGCAATTCCACTACATCCTTCTTGTATTGAAATGCTGAGAGAATTAAGGGAGAACAGAAGGCAAGTGTGTTTTGTTTTCTGCTTGTCTGCCAGTGGTTTTAAGGTGATTTGAGCCTTGGCCTGGCAGAAATAAACAGGGCACAAACTCGGCCACCTCCAGAGGCCAGGCAGGGAGAGTGATAGAGTGAAGTGGGTGGGTGGAAATGGCAGGAAAGTGGAGAGCATGTGACTGGTCTAAAGGAGGCAGCTACTCCTCATCTCCAGCTGACTGTTAGCATGGCCAGTGAGAATGTGGGCCTGATGTTACAAGATGGTCTAGATTTTCAAGAGAAGCTGTAAATTCATTTTTTAAAAATGTGAAATGTTTCTTTTTAAGT